CCCTGATCGTAAAATAAGATATAGAAAGAAGAATATTGAAAAAAAAGGAATACTAGTCTCGCATCATGACTTTTTGCTCTATAATTTCGCTATCATGCGTGTCAAATACAAGTAAGCCTCCTTACAAATATCATGAACCTCGCTTAAATCGATAATTTTTTTTATATAGCGTCTGAAAGATGCTTTTCATTACGAAAAACAATCTTTCAATATTTTTCATACATCTAGAAGGAACCTCTTTTGCATGTAACTGGTAGTAAAAATAGTGTACATAGTTGTGTTTAGGAATCTAGAATACCATGCGCTGAGCCTTCGGTGCTCATATTTGCTCTAACACACTCGTGGCTATATCCAGTATCATTTCATCCAATGCTACCTCCAGCGTGCACTTCAGCAACCCGCTTGGCGGGATCTTTTCCTCCACCTGTGATGCTTGTTTGCCCTGATTAGCCTTGTCATCGATTACCTCCTCAGTTCCATACGAGGAGTCCATGATGGGAAGCTGAGTCAACTCAGATTGCTTCGCCACCAAGTCCCTATAATAGACCGGCTCCTCGGCAAAACGGGGTTGTGTAAAGGCTGACTGAGTCTGAGGCTGAGCGACTATCATATGTATTATCTCATCCATGACGTTGCGAGTTACCTGGACCTCCTCCATGGTGGCAGGTCTAAAACTGTCTATTGGTTGGGGATCTGTGTAGAGGTGCATCGACGGCTGATAGACCTTCGACTTGGCTTTCTGTTCGTACAGTAATTCCCAGTAGTCCACTGGCATAATACGTGCCTGCAGAAACAGCTCCAGTGTGCCATACATCACGGTCCGTTGCGAGTTATCGTCAAGGTCGAGCAGGTTGTCCTCGTATTGGCGTCTGGTTTCCGCTACCATTCTGGACAGTGCGTTCAGGCTCAGGGATTCTGGCGGGATATTCATCACAGGCGGACGGGGAGACGCCATTCGTGCTTTTTTCTGAAGGAACGTGCTACGCTGAGGTCCGTCTCTGGTTGCCTGTGTGGTGGCTGCGCCACATGCGAAAACCCCAAGACCGTCTGCAGCTATGCATTCCTCTCCGTCGATTGGAGTCCTCGACGATACAGCAGCGTCTTCGGAGGCCCTGTTCTGTATCTCTGCGTCTATCACTGTTTTGTTGGTAACCATACACAGAATGGGCCACACTAGCTGTTGGCTTACACTCCCAGTGTTGAAGGCAATCCGGCACATGACAGTTCCGCCGTTGGGTGGAATAACTCCCTCCTTCGGGTTGATAAAGAGAGTGTGGTCGCCGTTGGTGTGAGAAGGACTCCATTTGAAAGAGTAAACGTCTGTGGGGTGGTGATTCGTCAGTGTACAGCAGCGGCGGTAGAGTGCATAGAAGGGTACTGCACCGAAGGTCATTACCTCAGTGGAAAGAGACACTGGTGCCTCATATAAAGATAGGGGGCGCGATTGGGCACCCCTGGCAGCCGTGGAAAGTACGAAAAAAAAGGAGTTGTCAATCCACTGCCGAATCTCCCTAACAGGGGTTGTATGAGGGTGGTAACCGCGGCCGATCAGCGTGAGGGTGTAACTTTCGCCTGCATCGGTGTAAATGGGTACATCCATGGTGTATTCAATAGCTTCAAGAGGCCTAAAATACCATGGCACGGACGCGAGAGAGCACGGTGCGAGAGTGCCTATTGGGGCGACGCATTGTAGAATAGGGAAGTTGTAGTTCCGTTCAGCGATAGCCAAAATGGAATCAATGTCAACAGTGTAAGTCACCTCACGATCAAGGGGGTTCTCCACCATGATAGATTGCATCGGCGGCTCCATGTCTCCCAGCATCACAGGTTGCAGATGGTAGACAGATGATTTGTGATGAAACACCAGGCAGCTCATACCAGTCGGCATAGTGCGCCCCTCAAGCAATATCAAGGCCCTTTTCCCGTCGCTAAGTCTCAACATCGCCGGGAGGACATGCGTACCAATCTCGCAAAATCGGTAGGTTATGGTCATAACGGCAATGTCACCTATACCAATGGTGCCACAGCGCGGCCTGATGTCGATGAGAGAGGCATCTATTATATGTTGGATGTCACTGAGATCCTCCTGTTCAACAAACCACGTCTCTTGGTTCACATCCGCCTCTGTCGGCAACCACACCGTGAATGTGGCTTCGCAATCCCCAGTATTCTCCAGTACTAGCGAAATGCGGGCCGATGGCGCGTGCTGGTTACCCACTGCAATATTCATCGCAATAGGCATGAGGCCGCTAATGTATTGATGAAAGGCGTGAAATGATGGGTCTGCATCGCTTGCATGTACAGGTGCAGCGAGTTGAGTGTTAAGCTCGTTAATAGACAGACGTCGCCAGAGGGATGATCGCGGCTGCGTAAGCGAACGGACGTCCACTACCTGCACCGCAGGGCGCCTGGAAAGGACCATCAATTTACAGTGTGGATGCTCCAGAACCTCCTCTAGCGTCTCGGGGCTGCGTATGGAGCTAAAGTCAGCCGTACCAGCTATCATTGCGTATAGAATGTACTCACCAACACCGCCACTAACAGAAGGGCACGGCGTCACAAGGACAGTGCAATGAGCCCGCGCGGGAAGGGTGCCGGTGTGGTTGAAAAGCACCGGATTAGGGGACTCTTCCCCCAACGCAGCTGGATCAGAGACAATCCAGACACGTACCTCGTATGCCAATTCGCACCTGCCGCTGTTGTAAAGTGTGAGATTTGCAGTGGTCTGTTCCTCAGAACTGTTCAGTTCGCCTCGCTCAAGGGTCATAACAGTGGGCTCAACCTCTAGTTTTCCATAGACACCCTCACCATTCACCTGCCATGTGATTGAGTGTCCACAAATCGCCTCAGATTGTGTCGCATCAAGAAGCGGAGGAGCGTCTTCATGGCCTATACCGTCGGTATCACGCAAGAGGAGTGTTACACTCCCCTTGTAACTCGAAACCGCTTCAGGTTTAAAGAATATTGTCAAACGAGAGCGCTCCCCCCCGCTTAGGATTCCCTCCGACGGTTCGAAGCGCAGGACGCCCATGAGATCAGGAGAGGGTATTAAGAGGTAAGCAATACGAAGGGAAGTTGGGTTATGCAACTGAAGCACATGATGGGACTCGCCAGTCACGCAGGTGGGTTTCAAGTAGAATTGCCTACCTTCAATACCCATGGACGCCCCCGTGACGACGAGGCGGGGCACGTCCGACTCGCCCAACAGACGCAGCTTTATGGACTGCATTTGTCGCCCACAAAACGCATTAAGTGTAGCCTCCGCCTCAAACTGGGCGTAGCTTGTTGGATGAAAGCAGTAAACAATCAGAACACGCTTCTGAGGTCCTACCCATCCTGTAGATGGGCTACACGCAAAGACCGCGGCAGACTTTGGTATAGACTGTCCATCGGAGGACGCAATTCTAGCCTTTGGCAGGATGGTGCCCTCGTCAGAAATGAACATGGAAACAGCACCTTCCCTCAGTTTTTCACTTACCCGGTGCAATGAGGCGCTGGAGATCTCGTACGAAATGAATGCGTCAGTAAGATTCAGCAGGGAAATAATCTGGTACGTTGTGCCACCAACGCGAGTGGCAGTGAACGTCGTAATCGTACTACTTACATGCACAATGTTTTCATCCTTCAAGAGTTGTGGCACGACACTGGGGTGGCACCTAAGAAGGCAAGGCACATAGAAGCAATGTGGTGGAATGAATGTGTGCTTGTCTACGTTTCGGAAGGATCGCATTTGTGCGTAGGACACGTAGCATTCTAAAACCTGTGCACACCCTAACTCTCGTCGTGACAACGTCATGGACGAGATCCCAGATTGATCGTTACTGCCCCTATCCAAACTTGGTACCACCTGAAAAGTGTATTGCTCACCAGCAGGTATCTCCTGTTGCGTTGGAGACACAACAAACATGGAATCCTTGTGGACAACCCAGGTGGCGATGGCCGCTTCGGGCGAGTCGTTGCGCACGATGACTGTCTGGCTCTGAGGTTTTTCACTAAATTCAAACGCAAGAATTGATTTTGATTCCAAAGAAAAAGGGCAGGGCAATGTGTGATTAAGGAGACGAAGCATGGAGTCAATCGTCATAGACCCGGCACGCCGTCTCGAAACTGCAGCGTCACCATTTTTAAAACTTTCCTTGTCCTTGGTCAATCGCCACATTATTTGTATGCGTTCAAATGAGCTTAATGCATCGTTGGAGTTGGCCCTTGAGTCGGAAGAATTGTTCTCTAATTCCCCTAAGGCGGCCCTCTCCAGCATATCCAGTTCCCGCGGTGTGTAGAACCCCAGGCCGTGCTTCATGTAAGTAAAGAAAGTCTCAACCTCCTGCAGTCCAAAGGGCGGTGGACGATTGACAACATTGTAGGCAGAGCCAAAAAGATCCACAAAAAGGGTGCCTGACAACATGTTCTGTACAAAAATAAACAATCTACGAAGGTAATTCCTCGGCTCTGTTGGATGGAAATGTACCTTCACATAGACGCTCTTTCGGGACTCGATCGCGCCACAGCTCGGTTCAACCGAAAAGGCCCCACCGGGGGTAACACCATGAATCTGAAAATACGTAGGGAACCTACCTTTGTTTTTGAGCTGGACTACACCAGCGCAGGTGCGTTCGTCGCGAGTCGACAACTTTTCCAAATTGACATCCCCAAAATTCAAATAACTCGTTGAGGCACACACGTGGGAAGTACTAATCATGCCAGTTGCACTCACATGAAGCACGTTTCCAGCCACGGCGCGAAGCTCGAACACATTGGTGTGGCGGCACGCTGCGCTCCCTTTAGCTTTGTAAGTTATAATCAGACTCTGCTTTACATTCCGCGGGATTTCAAAGTCCGTTAAGGATTCCCCTGGCGACTGCAAGGGAAATAGGGACGACGGAGAGGAAATCAATGGAGCTTCGGCATTGGGCAAACTGAGCTGGAAAGGGCAGTCAACGTTGTCGTCCTCACGCCGCACTCGGACGTGGGCCGCCACAAGTGAGGGATTCTCCAGTACTAATTCGTAACTTTGTGTGCTACCGGTAGCTACAGCACCAAAGTCCACGCATACATGTGTGTGACTAACCTGAGAAAATTGAGCTGCATCCGGGAACATTTTCGCTTTGCCCTGACGCTTGACATCACCGAACCCTTTAGCGAAAGAAATATGTGGGTACTTGCCCACACCTGAGAGTTCAATGACAGCTAAGGCCTCATCAATACTGGCTAGGCGGCAAACACCCTGCGCAAAGACAGGTCGAGCATCCAGTGGTGTGAAAACTACAAAAGCCTCGAGTGGTTCGTTGGGCTTCAGGAAGCCACGCTGCGGAGTGACTGCAAAGGGTGCTGGCAGGTCCCATACGAACTCTAGAGGGACCGTACCTATATTAGTCATGGACATACGCTCCCTTGTGGAAAATCCAACAGGGCAGAGTTTAAAATCATGTCTTCTAGGTGTGCAACGTAGTTTTGCATAGGGTATGCGACCCTCTAACTTGATATTAAAGGATCCTTTGCCCTCCACTGTGACTTCAATACTATCGTGAATCTCCACTACTTCGAGAGGACAGAAGGTTACATCTAAGGTGAACGACACACCACTCCTCAGAGTGACAGACTCCGGAAAGGGTGTAAGGAACGTATTTCTGTGTGCAGGCAACTTGAAGCTGATAGTCTGTGCGTCCCTTTCAATATTCTTGAGAATCACCTGCCGTGTGTACTGCTGTTCAGGCTCCCAAATCTTCCACACCAGGAGGTCATTGCAGTCAATTCCAAACTTCTGCCGCCTTTTCTCCCGTTTAGAGCATTCCGATATGGCCATATATTAGTAATAAAAAGCTAGATCAATATATGCTATTTTATCCTTTTCGAAAAAAAAAAATGACTAAATTACCCTATTACAACAACTCAAAGGCTGCGCATAGATCTTGCTTGGCATCTTCAGAGACAAGAATTGAGGAACGGTAATGGATAAGCACCTTGAAAAAGTCACACTCCATTTACTTCAGATTAAAGGATATTTTCCTGTTTTGAACAAGCACGGGTTGCTGTGACGCAAACAAAAAGATCACCATATCAATCACTGCAACCCATTGACCGATTCAAAGCTGAAAGAAGCGAAAAATATCGTATCCACTCAAGAAAGCGATGAGATTTCTTTTCACTTACACTCAAAACTGAATACCTCTACGTTCTTTCTCCATTTTACCTTGGAGGATTGTCAATGCCTAAGCAAAATACACACTATCAGAAAGCATATGAAGAGGCTTCTAAATAACAGCAATATGGACTAGAAATGAATCCTCTGGGACGATTCCCTATTCAATCCTGCATATCTTACTTAAAATAGTAAAACGCAACGCACCTACCTCATCCAGATCGCATACCAGCTTCAAGCCGTCGAATGGGCCGACCAAAAGGACACGAAGTTATAGATCATGAAGGGAATACAAAACGATGCATGAAAAGGATACTGTTCAAGCTAGCTCTCATAATGTGCGCTGACAGGAGGTACAACATAAAACTCAGCATTACCAAAGTGCTCCTCAGGAAATACTTGCTGTAAATATTCGACCTCAAGAAACAGAGAATATTTTTTTAAAACAAAGGTAGAGTTAAGCGCTAGAAACTTACTCACAAATTTCTGTTTCCTCACTCTATTACATGTGATCAAAACAAACCACAGATCTAAAAGCAGATGAATGTATAGGACCTAGCAAGCCTTGCCTATGAAGACGCTTACGCGCCGCTTATGCCCCCATGACGCTTACATGTATCAATAGCCATCTTGCTATCTATAGTTGACCCACTAAAATTCCATAATAATTGACAATCGAAGAACAAAAGGAGCTGAAATATGAGTTGTATAACCATGTGTTCGACTCATCAGAACATGAGCTTAATACCATGCTGCATTATCTCTCCTCTCCCAAGTACCAAACAACGAACATATTTGGTTATATACTTTCGAAAGAATACACGAAAAAACAAGAGCAGAAAGTATTGTATATGAATTTATCAATTTAAGTATGTGAGATTAGAATATAAGTTTTGACTCGAAAAAAAAAGGATACCTACCCCCTCGTTAACTGCCAACCCCCAAATCGCTGTATCAACAGCCCTTCCTGCTGAAGTTGACTGAGGACGACATCAAACGAGTCCCCCATGGCCACCATCCCACCAAGGCTCAAATACAGTGCCTCTATGCGAGAACTCGTCAGTATTCTGTTATCGGTAGCTCCCGATTTCGATGAGACACATTCGCGCCGTAGGAGCTCGACGAACTGCAACTTGCTTGCCTTCTTGCTAATACGACGCCGCTTACCGGCGCTAGTACGGTAAGGAAGCAAAGCGTCACCACTCGCATCAGGGAATCCATCAAATCCACTAGTATTCAGCCGAGTACCCATATCGGCCCGAGGCGGTAGCTCTGCCCTTGGCGCAACACCATCCAACAAATGTGCAATGCTGCGTAAGTGGTAAACATAAGTATCCCAAACTTCCTGTAGTAAATCGGTGGACCAACAGATGCCCACGCCTCCCTGTAAGACGAGGCGCGCCACAGAAAGCGCACAAAGCACGCGCAGATGTTGTTGCAAGGAACCATCCAAGCTCCACTGCCCCCTGTGCACCTCCTCATCGCCCTCTGCCGCCTCGCCACGGCCCCTGCGAGAGGCTGGCATTGGTAACACGGAAGCGGGCGCCAGAATTGAAAACTCCAGAAGATGTTTGTGAGTCTGTAGAAGATGCAAATACGAAGCCGCGAGAGACGGCCAATCCAGCGCAGAGTAGAGAGTTTCCTCATCAGGTGCACACCGTGCTATCTCAATAAGGGTGCTTATGTCGAGGGAAGTCTCTAGGCCCAGCATTGCGCCACCAGATCCTATTGAATCACCCCGATTATCACTTCCGTCAAACGACCAGCGACTAGAAGAGGCGCGTGAATTTGCACATCTCGAGGATGAGCCTCGAGCCGAGGAGGCAGCTATGACATTCTGCCCAATGGAAACGCTATATGCAAGGCTGAGCGAAGGCGACACACGTGCCACTAATGGGAAGCGCCGAGCCAATGGCAATGCAAGTCGACTTTCTTCGTGGATAGACGCAGTCAGTTGAACTTCGGTAGAAAAGGTGGACTGCCCTAATCCCTCCAACGCATTCGCTGCGGCTATTGATCCGGTCCCCACGGTGGACGCCACACAGATGCCGTCTTCCAGAAGCTGATCTACTATCGGCAAGCAGGAAGCGCTTGAGATAGCTTCGTCTAACATGAGGGCAGAGCTTTCGATTGCAGCCCCACACAGTAACACGTTACCGTGCATGCTTGGTAGAGACGCTCCAAGTCCATATCCGGCGGTGGACGTCGCCGTTCCAACGCCCCCATACCACTGTCGGATTACCGTTGCGTATGCCTTACCGTAGAGACGAGCTATTCCTCGCAAAAGAGCGGTCTTTCCGCTTTTGGTAGGACCTATTAGCAACACGTGCATGGGCCGAAGCCGGGCAGATCCCGCTGTCCCACGCCGCACCGCCCGATATAGGGTGTGGATAACGCTGAGGAGGAGAAGGCCCTTACAAGAGTCCTGACCAACAATGTCAGGTGCCACTAGGCGGCACCACTCTGGTAAGCGCATTTTTGGCCCCGTCCCACAGCTTTTCAATGGTCGGCATGGGCAGGACTCAAAAAAAGGGGTGTTGGTCAAGAAACTCATGCCCTCTATTCCCACTTCCGGCGTGTTCGTACTAGTCCACTCCCCAGTACTAAGCAAAACCGTGGCACTATGTAACCCCACGAGTGGCTCACCTCGTTCAGTCGTGGTAACGTACAGTAGCGCTCGGAGGACATATCCAAGCTGAAGGTTGGGGTGCAGGTCATCGCCAAATGCCACAGCAGCACAGCGTGAGCCGTCCTGTCGCTGAAGAACAAGAAAAAACTGCCGTGTCCAGACTGGTTGGAGTGATAATGGCCGCCCACAGCGACTGCAGATGTTACCACCGTAACTTTGTGGAAGCTTGTGCACATCTGCAAAGGCTGAGTCTTCTTCACTCTGCCTATAGCTGGCCTGCTGAATAGCGCAGTCAGGACAAGGCTGCAGTTCCCAGCCGCTTTGTATGAGGTTTGTGTAATAGGGCTGAAGCCGTAATCCCACAATGCGACATATCTCTTCACTCAAACTAGAGCATGACTGTTGCTCTCGCCGCAGCATGTTTTGATAATATTCTCTGAACGAGCCCCGGGCCACGGCATCTTGGGGTAGGCGGCTGTCGGAATCCGTAAAAGGACGTAGCCTCGGAGAAAGGCAGGTGACTGCGAAGTGCGAAGCCAACGCACGGATGAAGAAAATGAGTAATGGCTCCCCGCGCTGCATCGGCCACACCAATTTCGTCCAAACCTCAGTTAAGAATCGAGGCGGTGGCGGAACAGTGTCCATGAAGTATCCGAACTCGGCAGTCGAGACCTGAAAGTGCAGGATACAATCTGGGTTGAGAATACGACTGGCAGCATCGAGCCAAGGTACTACAAGATTGGCCTCACTTTGGGACGATGCGCTCCTATCTTTCTGATTGTGAAAAGGGTTCATTTACATAAACAGTTGCGTTCAGCTTGACTTATTAACTGCAATACAAACGAAATGCATTACTGTGGTCAATCTTATGAGGTAGATAAGGTCAAGGGATAAAATGAAAGAAGTATATTCACCAAAATGCGATGCTAAGAAAATAAAAGGCATACAAGTGATTAAGCCATCCATCCTACGACTCATTGTTTACCATAAAATCGGAACTTAGCTTACCCTTCAAAAGTGTAAGCAGGGACACCCCACGCCTCCCTCTTCTTCCGCATCTCATCTTGGAACGCCCTGGTGTAGGTGTGTAGGTACAACTCTCCTGCTACTTCGCTCATCGCCTGGCGATAAGCCCCATTGCGCACGTTCAGGTCGTGTTGTTCTCGATCCCGGGCAGCCATGGCCAAATCAAAGTCATAATCATCCTCATTTTGAGAGAGAGTTATATGAGAATTCATTTATTTGTGTATAGCGAAGTAATATTGTACAGGAACAAAATATCACCCTTGTTATGAAGCAAACAACATGCAGCTAAAAATGAACCTATACACAAGAAAGAAAATCGGGAAAGGTGAACCTACAAAACGCAGCAGAATAAAAAGTTAATTTCACCGAGCAAAACCCCCCTCCCCCATTCAATTGGATAAACCTACGATCAATATCCTGATTCGAGAGGTGTCCAAAATGTATTTAATACAGATTCATTCTTCCGATGCAAACCGACTATATCAAGAACATCTAAACGTTATACGATAAGCATCTATCATACAGTTTCGTCCACCCCCGACAACACTTTGAGGACATTAATACGTACGTACATGCCCTTTCCCTCACACTTCCTAGGACGGCTTATTGAATCTAGGAGTCCGGGCATTGGCCCGAGAACCTGCCGAATTAAAGAAGGAACGAGGGCCACCCACCGTATGAGGGCGCCGCATACGTGCCGATTCTCTTCGCACATTCAAGCGAACAGAGTTGTGGTTCGGTAAATTGCCGTCATAGTTCAGCCAATCAAGAACATGTCGTGTGCGCGACCGCAGAGTCGGCTCCACCGAAGCCGGGTCAAAGTCCCACTGCACGATATGACTCATCCGCTCCTCAGGGGTATCACCGAACCATTGATAGTTGATCCGAAGATACTGATTTTGAAGAGGCCGCTCATTGAACACTCTCGTCATCTCCCTAGGTTCCGCAACGCTGCTACCAAGAGCCTCACAAGCCTTGACAACGCTAGCAAGGAGCGTCTCGACCCCTTGTGAGACTGTCATGTCGTCCTGCAACCGGACAGGCAGAAGCTCATGTCGACCATCAAGGCAATGCACGACTACCCACGCTGTCTCGCTGTACTCGAGCAGCATTTCGGTTTCAATGTAAACCTGAGGGTTGTGAAAGGTGATGGGCACGAGGTAGTTGCGTGAAAATGCCTTGGCAGTGTCGGCAGCCAACTTGCCAAACGTAGTATCTTGCCGCTGGCTGTAGTATACATAAATCGACTTTGTAAAGGGGTGCACTTTGACTACGCGCTCCAAAAGTAGAGCATACGGCCATACGATCTCGGTCGCTTCGTTTCCAAACTGAGATTTGGGCTTTGGGAGGCCTTTGAAAGGCTCAAGGTCATCCCACGTATCACGCATACGCAAATCCCAGCGTTTAATAAACTGATAGGCTGCTGTTTCTTTCAGAGATGTTTGACGCTTTCCAGGGCCACGATGAAAACCTCGAGGTTTGCGATCAGTCGAAGTAGGAACGTCCTGTATCTGTTCTAAGCCACGTAGCGGGAGTGTGTGACACAGATGTCGAGCCCATGAGGTAACTAACGCTACAGAAGCAGCGCAACCCCTCGGTCTTCTCATTACTTCTGTAGCTTGTACTAAATGCTTGGAATATAGGATGAATGAGGAAAATTGGAAAATCATCCACTGTCTATGCGTTTAAATGAGCTGTTGGTCAAAAACCTCCAACTAAATGGATTCCGATATGCACATAAGTGTATTAAAGGAAACAAACTAAGTGTGATTAATAAACGCAATTCATCGTCAAGATATACTCATTTAAATACAGCGATGAAGATATACGGTGATGTCTTATAAAAAAGAAGAACGTCTCGCAGGGCATTACTGTGGACCAGCCTGTTACAAGACAGCAGCACGCAAGGCAGTGTTCCGCTGCAGCCGTGTCTTGTTCAACACCCGCGGACACCCATCTCTATCTTTTTCTAACGCTACGCAATACTGGCAATAGTAAGCGACCTCCGTTGTGTTGTTTGAACCACACATAATGCACCGCTCTTCCCCTTCCCGCACAAGACTGCAGTCTTCACACAAATGAACCTCGCGCATCGTTTCTAGCGGCTCTTCATATTGGAAATCACAAATAACGCATCGGCCCTCGTGTAATGCGCACACATATCCCAATGCCGTTCCTACCGGCTTGCGGCACATTTGTAAATCCTCCTTTGAGTGACGTAACATCGGGCAATGCTTTACCTATGTAGGAAGAAAAAATGAACTTCCGCTCAGAGACCTTAGAAAACAGACAGAAGAAGAAAAGGAACCCATTGGAAGAAACTATAAGAGATGTCCTGTAAAGTATTGCAGACTACATTAGACTCAGAGTCGGCACCCACCAAAACTGGTCGTAAATCCAACTTTGCAACAATATGATACCTACCTTACAGATGTTTGTGTCAAAGAATATTACACCAAAAGAAACTAAGAAGAAAACAAAAGCATGCTGATCACCTCAAAAAATTTCGTGACACGCTCTGAAAAAAAATGCGGGTGCGCTTTATCTGAGTATGGGCACGCACAACGCATCAATACGCATTCCTATGCTTATGAGCCTTGCTCGTTTTGAAAATAAAATTAGTTTGGAGTGTCCCCTGTCCTTCTTCTCTGAAGCTCACAGGGTTCTTCTTCTGAAGGTATGCTATGATTTATGGCAGAACGTGCTCTCTTTCGCTCCGGGGAGTGGTGCAGCGGTCTTAGCCGCAGTGGTTCATCCTGAAACAAGTCGTTGCCCCCATGCAGATCACATTCACTCTCCTTGCCACATTCGTGATTATCAGATAGAGCATCCGTCTCACAGCACAACGTATGGTAGACTTGTGAGACTTGCTGACGGCGCTGGGTCGCCAACGACAGCCTCAGCTCTACCTCTCGCACCACATCTTCTAGTATCGTGGGTGCGTTTGGTGGAGGTCCCGCGGGACAGGAGGCCGTGCTCAAATGAATATTTGAGGCTTCAGTCGCAGGCATCGTTGGCACCCAGACACGAGGTTCATACTGAGGCAATCGTCTGGACAGGGGCTGCGCAGACCCTACGATACCACTTTCCTCAGACAAATGTCCAACATTCCGGCGTGCAACAGGAGGATTCGTGGTCTCACGTTGCGGCGACGATCCCGAGTAAAGGGGTAAGCCCATCGCCGTGTACACAGGCTGGCGACACATAGGACAATCGTTGTGCATGTGCAACCAATGCCGCGCGCACCGACCGTGAAAAACGTGACCGCAAGGTAACTGTTTTACTCGTTCACTCTCTGCAAAGTCATCTAGACATATCCCACAGGCCTGCTCGGCAGATGCTGGAGTATCCTGTAGCCGGGTGAGGATTCGTTGGTATGCATGCAGACTGCCTCGTCTGATGAGCGTAATGAAAAACGAAATGAGGAGGATAATCTGCACCACCAACGGCACCTCACGTGGGGAGTATAGCCAGGCCAGAACTGTAGTAAAGAACATGCCAACATAGCGACAAGCCAGGTCGAACTCTACAGAGTTGGGGTCTATCAGAGTGTCCTCAAGGGCATGTGTAGTGGACCCTGTCTTAGACAAACACCGAGTGAGAAGAGGATATCCAACGAAATGCTGAAAGCAGGTCATAAGAAGTATGAAACCATAAATGGTGTTTGTTGCGGCCCTGACAGTGGATGTGTACCACATAAACATATCACCATTCTGTAAGGCCTTCTGAGTGGAATGCAGTCCAGCAAGAGAGCCTTTACTTGCTGCTGTTGCTGTGGGTAGTGTGGAATAATATGCCCACTGCAGGACGTAGCAAGCCATGAAAACTGCACACCATAGTGTGGTGCGTAGCTTTTGGAAGCCCGTACAGTCGTTCCAGCGGCGCACCCAAACACTCAGGCGACTCCTCCATACCCCTAGCGCCACACTGGAAGCCATCGCAGCACTCCAGTACCTCAGCGCAGATCGCGCACACAACACGTGGATGATAGTGCTCATTAGCATGTATCCATATTCCGCCTCGCTTTCAAACACATCCACGCCACAGGTGGATGGTAATGTTCCGAATTCCATGACTATTCGTGCAACAACATGAGAGGTACAGTATAAATATGTATTAAATAGTACCCATGACAAGCAGAGAAATCCGTAGACTAGAAAAAAATGCGCGTTCCAGTAGGCCAGCAAACAAGCGGTGAAGATCACCCACGTTTTATTCACATTTACGTAAAGTGTGGTAACTAACATGGATCTCAACGTTATTAATATATATATATATATATATCAGTTACCCTTATTGACAAATAAAGGTTGCTTACATAATCACATTAAACAGAAAAATGGAACTACTTCGTGTTGATGTGTAACTTTGTGTCCTCGATGAATGAGTGCTTGTAAAGCAAGTAACAGAAATAAAAACTGCGCCATGGCATGAAGGAAGAGAGAAAACACTTCTTATTTGTATTTGTCAAGAGCATGCCCCTAGACCATCAATAAAAGGCTTTGGTACACACGTATCGAAAGGCCCTTTCTCAAAACACAGGGATAGAAAATATCATTATGAACTAGTTTTTATTTTATGAAGTACAACCATAAAAAGGGTTTATATAGTTAATCACTTTATACTCCTACCATTGGAATCAATTCACAAACATCCAAAACATTTACTCAGTGCTTTTTAGTTGTAATAGCCAAGACAAATATATATTTTCTTTTGGTTAGTCAGAAGATGCTAACCCCCATAAAATTATAATCCATGTATGATTGATATTCACTACACTGATTCTATTCTCAAGCCACAAGATAGACGGATGACAAATAGAAACATCATTTTTTTTTGATTGCTCAGAAGAGAATATAGGAGATAAAAAGAAGAAAAACACTGAGCAAAAGAAAGGTGCTGATAAATTTTCCAGGAAAAATTGGTCATTCAATCCCTTTTAGTTGTCCTACTTTTTTATATCCCTTCATCGACTTTGCTGAACAATCATGGAATCAACAAAAGTTATCGCTCATCCTTTCTATATGCATTGCTATTTTTAGACACAAATGAGGTCAGTTCAATAACAGTCCTGGGGATAATAATAATAAATACACCTGTGGAAGACAACTCAAATGTATTGCATGTGCGTCAAAAACACCTTATCATTCTAGCAAGGCATTGAATTTTTCATTCTGATTAATAGGCTAAAATGCAAATTTATTGCACCACCTATATATTGTTAATGAGTCTCATATTAGTAGTGTGTTTTTCCTGAAAATGTTTATCTTGGCATTTTTGTTTATTATTTTTACCATAATCAAAAACTTTACTGAAATTAGTACTCACTGAAATCAACCTTTTAGAAGAAGAAGAGGCTTGCACTACTCTGTATCTTGCTATATCACTGATACGTGTTTGTTTATCTATCACGACGCTGGGTCTAGAAACGCACACTTATATATATATATATATATATATATGCATGGACTGCATCAATTGCTACAAAATTATGAGCGTCTGATAGTACTTTATATAACATACATACACACTACCAATGTCAATGAAAAAGGCTTTCTAACGTTTCTAATGAGAGTTTGCAGTGGCATGTTCAACGGCCATCCTCGCGCCATCATCGAATCCCTCGGCAGAATAAATCTTCAAACCGTTTTTCGTAAGAATTGACTTTCCGAGACTTTCATTAGTGCCACTAAGGCGCACGATGATTGGAATGTCAGTCTGAGCACTCTTAACTGCATTCACGATGCCATTCGCAATGGTATCGCATTGCATGATACCACCGAAGATGTTAACCAAAATGCTCTTCACGTTCTTATCACTGAGGATAATCTTAAAAGCAACCTCAATCTGAGATGCGTCAGCGCTGCCACCCACATCCAGGAAGTTCGCGGGCTTACCACCGTATAAAGAGATAAGATCCATTGTAGCCATCGCAAGACCTGCGCCATTCACGAGGCAACCGACATTACCATCGAGTGCAATGTAGTTAAGGTCAGCCTCCCTGGCAAGTATCTCCTTGACATCAACTGCTGACTTATCCTCCAAGTCAAAGATTTCCTTTTGACGGAATGCAGCATTGTCATCAAAGCTTAGCTTCGCGTCAATCTGCATAACATCGCCATTCTCCAGCTCGACGAGTGGGTTGATCTCGACCATCGTGCAGTCTTTGGTTTTACCAACATTGTAGATATTCTTAATCTGCTCTGCCATCTTCTCGGCTGAATCTCCGACAAACCCAAGCTCCTTCGCGAAGTTGACGCAGCTGTCGTGATCGAGTCCTTCGAGGACATTGACCTTCATCGTCTTAATCTTCTCCGGGTTGGTCTTGGCCAATTCCTCAATACCCATACCACCCTCGGCACTACCCACAAACATGGGCGAGGCGCTCTTACGGTCAAGAATTAGGGAAAGATACAGCTCCCGCTTAATGCCCGAGACGGCCTCGGTGACGTACAGGGTGTTTACACACTGACCCTTCGGGCCGGTTTGCTTGGTCACAAGCGTGTTGCCCAGCATCCGCTTGGCCACATCCACCGCGGCCGCGGCGTTGTCGCAGACGTGCACACCACCCTTAAATCCATCCACAAAGGTGCCCTTACCGCGCCCGCCAGCGAGAATCTGAGACTTCACGACCTTCCTATCGGTCTTAATCTTGCTGCAGGCGGCCTCAACCTCCTCGATGGTCGTGCACGGGATGCCAAACTCGACCTTGCAGCCGTGCTCCTTGAGGATCTTTTTGGATTGAAACTCGTGGATGTTCAGAAAACGGTGTTGGACGGTAACAGCACGAGGGATGCAAGAACGAGCGAAACGGAACATCTTTGTTTCTTTTTACCTTTCGTTAGGACACAAAGAGCTTTAGAAGTCTTAGATGATGAAATTATAGTGTTAGAGTAATTAAAAATAATTAACTTTTAAATTTTGAGATGTAAGAAAGGGGAGTTGGAATGGTAAGATGAAAATTTTAAACACAAAAATAGACTGGAAAAGTGAAGTGTGTAATATGTAGTGCACTTCAATTATCATAATCCTAAAGCAGCTTTTCCACATCCTTCAGTGCCACAGGAGTGCCACAAAAGCTCGTTGTTAACACGATCTAGGGAGCTCTCTTCTATAACATATCGAACACCCATTTGTCCTTGAGGTCAGTTTTAAACAGAGTCGCGATGTACTTGCTGGTGTATTTCAGCACATTACGCAAACCGCACGCCCCTGGACGCCGTGGATGCGCACACACAGGCACGCTGATAATGTTTAGAACCTCTCAGAAACTCTTGTGAGAGTTGTCATCCCATCAGTCAATGATTCTGGCTATATCGATATTAAAGCACTCCTAATAGTCTTACCCCTGTGAGTCGGCATGATACCGCAATGCATCATACCCCAGTGCCCCATAGACGTGTAAACTGAACGCAAATGTAGACTAAGTCAATGAGAGCAAGGCGAGACCAGCTATTAAGATACTCACGCTTAATTTTTAAGCATATACATGCAGAAAATAGTACTATATAGTATCATGATTACCGTTGATAGAGCTTAAATAATGAGGTGACATGATTGTATAGTGGAAAAATTTGAGTGTCTTGATAACAGCATATAGCTTAAATATTGGGATGTTGTCTAGTAGACAAAAAATTGCGAAAGAGGTTTCCTGTTAATCAAAGATATATACGGCTTTTCCCTATCAATCCAATTAACGTTGCAAATGGCGAGGAGAGGCTTAAGGGGAGACACAGTCTTCTTTTTGGTATAAAAGCACCCTGATGTTGAGTTAGAAGTAATATTTAGTCGATGGTTTTTTTACTTTTATATTTTATTGTTCGGATTCCTCCGATGCAGAATCTTCATCAGTATCCGAATTGGAGCTAGTATCACTATTTTCCTCATCTGAGAAATCGTCACTACTGCTGTTCTTGCTACTATCATAACTTCCCTCATTCTTAGAAGATTCTATCGATGGACTTTTATGGGATGAATCCCTTTTGTAGAGTGCCCTCAACTCCTCTAATGGGATCTCTTTATCCTTCTCCAAGTCATTTATTACCTCGTTTAATTCTTCTTTGTATTTGCGTTCGGCCTTTCGGATCGTAGTTTCGTCGTCACGAGCTTTTTTGGTAGGAATAAATGCTCCATCCGCATCAAATGCCAAACCACACTCCTTAGCAAATGTCGCGTACTTTTTACGGAGGTCTTTTGCTAAGTTATACCACACTGTACCCTTTTCATTAAACTGTAAGGCGTTCGTGAGCATTAGTGCAACATCCGTCTCTACATCAGAGTCTTGTTTATACGCACCCTTTTCAATCTTTGCCTTTATGGTAGAGAGATCCATCGGATTTTTAATCACATCATGGTAATTTGGGACTTCCGTAGTACTTACGGGGTGGTGGAACATTGACAATGTGTCAGCCTCCCATAGTTTGTTAATAAATGATATGCATTCAACCTTGTGAAAAGACTCAAGAGGCCTTTTTTCGGCCGTCATATCAATAATGGAGAAAGTTTTGACTGTATTTACTTTGGGGGCTTCGAATTGAAAAACAAAAGTATTTTTTTGTGGAAAAAGAAACGCATTATTTATTGAGTGAATTTTACCCATTAGCTTACATAGCACATATTATCCCCCAGGCTACTACTTGTCCACTTGTTCTTCGTCGTTGATTTTTTAAAATGTGGAAATGTTAGAAGCTGACATCACTCCCATCGACGTTTATTTCCACTTTTCGCCAGAAACTGTTTCACCCTCATTTCGCGTCAGCGACCAGTATTTGCCTTTCATGGTCAAATCGCGGTAGCTTTGCAACTTACCCCTTGAAACAGAGTGCTGATAGCCGTCGGACGTTTCGCCCAAACCGCCATTCCCGAAAAAATCAAGCTGCTGATCTACAAGAGTAGCACAGGAATAGTTATCCTTGGGGGACTCTGTTTCCTCCATGCTATTTGCATAAAATCCATTGTTTATGGTTTTAAAGACATTATCGAGCTGACAGCGTTCAGTTTGTTGGCGCTTTTGCAAAATTTCCCGCTCTGCTGTTTTCCGTTTAAACACCTCACTGCACATATACTGCACGGCACGTTCTAGGCCACATTGGGGGTGATGCACACCCATTCTCAAGCCCAAAATTGCTGAGACCGGGAATACCGGCAGCTTTACGCGAAGCTCTAATTCAGACAGCTTCTTCTTGGTACAGTTGCCTGCTGAGTCCTTAGTGATGTCCATCTTGTTAGCAAATACCATGATGGCTCGGCTGCTGAGACCGGGGAGGTAGTAATCTAACTCCATCTGCAGTAGCTCTATTACGTCCCATGGCTGCAAGGATCCATCATTGCGCGCGTTGGGGTTGTAAACGTCAGACATATCTACGACAAAGGCTAGTGTTTTTGTGCGCTCAACGTGACGCAGGAACTGATGTCCTAGACCACGATTTTCATAAGCTCCCTCGATAAGACCAGGTACATCCGCCACACGACATGTGTTACCGTAAAGATCATGAATCAGCCCTACATATGGACGAAGTGTCGTAAACGCATAGGGTGCGATAGATGGCTTACTAGAGCTGATGGCCGATAGGAGAGATGATTTTCCCGCATTGGGGTAACCAATGAGGGCACAGTCTGCTAGCGTCTTAAGCTCCAATTGAGCTAACATGGTGTTTCCAGGAAGGCCTCTTGTCGACTCAATTGGTGAGTGGTGCCATTTATTTGCAAAGGCAGCATTACCTTTCCCACCTTGACCCCCTTCAAGCAACGGTACCTCAACTCCATCCTCATCCAAGTCAAATATCACTTTATTGGTATCTATGTCGATAACCTCAGTTCCTATGGGAAGTTCAAGCCATAGATCCTTTCCTTTTCTGCCGCGAGCCTCACGGGCGTATCCGCCGCATCCGGATTCAGCTGAGAGCTGGTTGCCCATGGATTGAATGTGGCTTAAATCAGGAACACGACGATTGCAGCGCAGCATAACGTTCCCGCCAGTCCCACCATTCCCACCGCCGGGTCCTGCAAATTCATTTCCATGCTCATGTGCCATTATGCTTGCTCCATCACCGCCATTACCACTTGACAAAAGAATCTTCAGGCTATCTACAAAGCTAGAACGGCCTCTTAGCCGTAAGATGGTCTTTGAATACATAACGCCTTCATTGGACAGTAAAAATAGATGAATCAAGATAATATAAAATAGATATAGCATACAAAAACATGAATGTGAACAAATTACACGACTGATTTATTACCGAAGACTAATTTCCCTTTCCACCTTCCATTTTTCGGCGTTGTATACCAACGCATATAAAAATAATGGTAATTTAACGTGATTTTTATAATATTAGTATTAATGTTTACAAGACATTACAAATACAAAGAGGAGGCGAACACAATGTCACGTTTTATCAGTTGGATGCCCTTGATAAATTTATCGTGTAGTTCCATGCTACCAATCGCAGGTGACCTCGCCGCAGAGGCTAGCTGTCTCAGCATCTCCTCAAGCCTCCGCATCATTCGCACAATATCTCCCTCATATGCAGTCGTCTTGCTAACCAGGTCTATAAACTTCGCACCTTTAGCCCATAGATAAGTCACCTCCATAAGGGAAGGCATCACTTTATCTACAGCAGTCTTTTCCTGTGTTAAACCACTCTCCACACACACTGTTGCAATGCGTGAGACGATCTCATTCAACTCCTTGAGGGGCTGCTCAAACTCTTGTGGCAATGAAAAGCCATCCGGCATGCGGTGGACGTTCACAAGACACGACAGCAATGCTATAATCATTTCAGTCTCCATGGAATTTAAAACGCCTTTGAAGAGGAGTTCGGTTAACAATATTTCATTCTCGTCTGTCGTAGTGATTTCACATGCTATACGGGACTTCCTGAGAATAATGTTTTCCTTGTCTATGTAGTCTAGTCGGCGTAAAACACGCATCATTTGCTTGAGTTCTTCGGAAAAAACAGCCTTATTCATGCTGACAAGCTCACGATTCACCTCTTCCAGCTGGCCTTCGAGTTCAGCCTTTTGCTTATACAATTCGTACTCGGCCTGTAATTCCTCTGTGGGGTTGTTGTAGAGTGCGTTTCCTTCTAATTGCTTCTCGAGATTGGAGACCTGATTCTGGAGCTTTTCAAGCTGCGGGTCCTCAACACCCATTTGGGCGATAGATAGCCTCGGTATTTTATCCTCTCCGAATTCACGATGCAGTCTGGAAAGGGTCTGCACCACAAGAGCTCGACCTTGCTCAGAGTCAGGTTGGGGAGGCAAGTTGGCCTTCAGAGTAGAAAGGCATTCAATATCGGAAAAATCAAAAGCCAATGTGTAGAGGTCAGCAGTTACAGACGTGTACTCCGTAACGTGGCACGGAGTTATAGAAACAGGGTTAGAGGGATCAATTTTCTTGCAAATAACAGCCACATTAATGGTGAAAGCGCTAGCGTCTGTCGGTGCTGAACCGGCAGACTTGGCTGCGAAAGATCGACACACACCCCAGCCAAAGCAGGCCTGATCGGAATCTCTCACGATCCGCACGAAGCGACCAGGTTGGATCCAATTTTTGAGATATTTAGGCTGACGGATAACGTCATTGATCTCCTTTTTTCGCTTCGTAATCAGAGTGTTGCAAAGTGTATATTGCCGAAGCACTTCCTCATTTTGCACACAAATCTTGCTAATATCAGCCTGCAGTCGTGATTTGGTGTTCTCTAGGGCGGGTTTGTTCGAAAGTCTCTGAAACTGAGCAAAGCTTCGCTTCATCATAAACTCGGGATCAACATCTTCCACCCGAAGCAGGTTAAGCACCATATTATATGTTAGGTGAAAACTGCTTAGCAAAACATCCGCCCCGCCGCCCGTCAGCTGCTTCAGAGTGTCTGGCTCGACCGCCTCATCTACCATGGCAATAACCACACCCACACGATCCAGGCCGCGTCGACCGGCTCGCCCGGACATTTGGATATACTCACCACCCGTCAAATATCGATTCTTTTCACCATCGTATTTCTTTACAGAAGTAAAGACTACGGTGCGTGCTGGCATATTTAAGCCCATCGAAAAAGTCTCTGTGGAGAAGAGCACCTTCACAAGACCTGCTTGGAATAAGATTTCCACCACCTCTTTTAAAATAGGAAGGAGACCTGAATGATGAATACCGACCCCCCGCTTAAGGAGGGGCAGCAAGTGTTCAATTGCTGGCAGCTTGCGGTCTTCCTCTGCTAATGACTCCATCGCATTATTAAAAACCTCAGTTACCAACGCATCCTCCTCAGTATTGTTGAAATTAAGGCGAGATAATGCAAGGGCATTCCGCTCACACTCGGATTTGGCAAATGAGAAGACAATCACTGGGTACATATTTCGGTCCATAACAAGCTTGACAATCTCCATGATCGGCTGTGTTCCGCTGCGACCTCGTGACTTGGGACTGGAGGCAGAGTGTCCGCGATCACCCTCCCCGGTTGCAGCTCCTGGGATATTTGAATCGCTACCAATGGACACCATAGCCTTGTTGAAATTATCGTCACGAAATTTTCCCTTTTCATCTACAATGAGGTAAATTCCCTCCGCCCCAGCAGGATAAAGATAGTGCTGTAAAGGAACAGGTCGGTAATTTGTATGAATAACGTGCACTTTTGTGGTCGGGTGAATGTTCTCTACCCACAACGAAAATTCACGAGCATTAGGTATGGTTGCTGAGAGAAATACGTATTGGCAACCTTCTGGGAGAAGAATAATGGTTTCTTCCCATACCACTCCCCGAGATTTGTCCCGCATGTAGTGGACTTCATCGAAAATAACACACCCGACTTCACGAAGCATTTCTGTACCACGGTACAACATACTTCGAAGAATTTCCGTAGTCATCACAAGGCAGTCCGAATCTGATTTGATGGTTGTGTCTCCAGTCATCAGACCGACCGAGTCAAACTTTTCAGAGAACTCACGAAACTTTTGATTACTCAATGCCTTAATTGGCGAAGTGTAAATAACGCGTTTCTTTTCCCTAAGAGCCTTAGCTATAGCGTATAATGCAACAGTAGTTTTACCAGCAGAGGTGTGCGCTGAAACCAATACACTGTCTCCATTCTCCAATGCATCAATACTTTCCTTTTGGAAGGCGTCAAGTTCGTATGGAAATGTAATAGGTGGATCCAACTCCTGTCGCTCCTTTTTGAGTGCTGGCTCCCGCTCACTACTCACTGCGTTCATCCTTGGTGATGTGCAAAGCCTTGTAAAAATGAAACCGTGTTACAAAAAGGGAAAAAGATCGAATAAAGTAGTAAAGAGGAATGACAAAAGGGCATTGTAAAAATGTTAGCTTTGACTGCACAATAAAAAAGTCGATAAATCAAGTAACAAACTCTTAAACGTGGTGTTTTTCTTTTATTATTCTTTACCAATGCTGCACAGTAGACGTCATTCTACTACTTGCTAAAACAAGATGAGACAAACAGCGACACAACCAGTGAATTTGAACACACAAGTATAAACTGAAATAGAGAAGAAACAAGAGGGTCACGCTAATCTGAACCTATTCTTTGAATGTTTCCTTCGCGTAATCTTCGAGGATTATCTTCATACTCTTCCAAACCTGCGTCTCAATGCATTCTTGCGCACCCTGGATTAACATGCCCACTGATTCTGTTGTTAATCGCGAAGATGTTTCTAACCAAACAATGTTGTTCACATCGTGGGACGTAACTGCGAGGGAGACCATAGGGCACTGAGACCGCATCTCCTCACTTGTCAAATCTACAAGCAACTTATTATCTATAATTCCCGCATTGATAGAGCAGACAGCATCTCTCATGGCGATGCCAGCATTCATAAGCGCAAGGCAAGCGGCATTAATGCAGGTCGCCTTCTCGTTTCCGTTTTGCCGCAATACCTCAATGTAGATATGGATCTGAGAGCTGGGGTATTGAGACAGCAAAACCATTGAGCTTGCAACCTGCACGACTATAGTCGCTATATCATCCGCTACTTTACTACGGTGCTGTGGATTACTGCGATACTCACTTGCGAAGGCTGCGATTGCAACTTCACAGGTCAGAACTGCCTCATCATGTCTCGCCTCCTGCTTGTTAACGCACTCTCGAGGTCCAAACACGGAAGCACAAACCCTAGCGTTTCCATGTTCCAATACACAACCGCCATCACAGCTAGTCATAGTACCGAATTTCGCATTAATTGGACGCGCCTCCAGGGGTCTGCGACCATCTATGCGAAGGCCAGCGGAACTGACGTACTCCTTGTTCTTCGACATCTAATCCATATGAAGAAATAAAATCGTTTAGAGCAAGAAATATCTGAAAATTTTCATGCAGGTTGTATGAAAGCTAGACGATTAAATGATGCATATATATATATATATATATGTGTGTGTAAACAGAATATATTAGCTTCTTTAGATGTAAAGTAAAAATGCACGTGCAGCCATTGCACAATAAGCCAAAAATACACGATTTTGATAAAAATTAAACCATATGTGATTGCTGAATTATGGGATAACCCTGATGCAAAAGTCATCATGATTCACTCCAAGTCCTTGATATCGTTCGAATCGTGGAGTTGTCATGTGAGTGCATATTCAAATCCATTCGGCCAAAGCAATAGAAGCGATACTTAAATGCAATCGTATACCTCTACTCAATTCGGAAAACTGCAAAACCGAAATTGAAATCAGTTTTCAACATCACTAAATTTTTGCATTTGCTGTAGAGCACCCTCCTATAACCCCTGGCTCCCCTTTCCCGCAGCCCTTTCCTACTATAATCATGAAGAAGGCGTGTATTCCTCCAGCATAAGGCCATAGCAACAGAACAAAAAGTTACCTTAAATATAGCACTGATACTTGCCCGCTTTGCTTGTGTAGCGAACCCACTTGTTCGAGCCATACATCAACATCGGCTCCTCAACTTTAAGCCCTATCACCTTTAATCCAGAAATGGAGCGCGAAGCACACTCGAAACTAATGTTAATGGGAGGTTTTGATAGCAACGCTTGGGTATTTTCTACAGTTGATGCAAGCCGCTTCATCTCACCGTGAAATGGTATTTCCTCCCCACTACCTAGAGAAGGCAGCCTCCACACAATGGCTCTATCCGTCACCTGAAACTTGACCCTTCCTTTTGGCACCTGCATGCTAACTGTGACTGTGTCTTCAGGACAAGGAACTATCACCTCGACATTGCTGACCTTCAGATTATGGTATGAATCGGATTTCAGGCAAAATTGAACCTCTATGCGTGTTTTGGAAACCTCCTCCATCCGTGCTGAGACTATTCTCAAGGGGGGACTAAAATCTTCACTAGAGCGGTATTGAATCAAGGTAAATTTACCATCTGGTGGTACAAAGCGAAGGCACTGCTTCGCACTAAACATGTCAAAACGAACACAAGTGTGGAAGGACACATCACTCAACGTTACCTGATTCTCCTCAGACTTTCTTTCCAATGAGTCACTATCTATACGCGCGTTTAAAGTTAATTCGCAGTTTGGCATCCCTGAAAGGAAGCTGTTCATTACTACTTTTCCCATCACATCACTTTGAAGAACATCACCGGTGGGGGACAGTAACAAATTGATCTCCTCAAAGACGTTTAAAAAAACTTCATTATTCTGGAAAATCAATCCTTCCTCCCTCCAGGGAACTGCCCCGGTGATCTTACTTGTAATGCGCTCCGACTCTCCCTGATTTTTTAAGATATCTTCCTTGATACCTGACTCTGAAATAACCTGTATGAGGCATGCCTTCTCTGTGAGAAAAGGGTATCCAAAATCCAAGCTCTCGTTAATAATTTCTTGAATAACTGCAAAATTTTCTTTGATAACTGACTCATTAATCGATTCATAGTATGCTTGAATAGTTTGGAGCAAACGAATCATATATTGCATGCACAAAAAGCAATCATCATTTCCATTTGCAACCATAACGATAAATATCTCGCTCAGCGTTAAATGAATATAGCAGAGGTTGTCAATAATGTTGACAGGGCATCGATCAGATTTTTTTGTACAAACAAGGCTCCTGCGAAAGGTGTCGGCGAGATATCGAACGCTATAATCTGTTCGAAAAAGATGTGAGGAAATCAAGTCTCCTCGTAAGTTTAAAAACATCAAGGCAACGATCATTCTTGATTTTATTAGATGTTCTACGGGTGGAGAGTGATAAAGATATATTTTATTCCCATAAAGGTGAAATAGGAATACGAAATGTAAAAATTTGACATTTGGCAATATGAAATAGCTATACATTTTCTTTTACAAACGCATAATGCGATGTTAAAACAGATCTCTTAACAAACTTGGCATTCAATTCTAGTCCTTCCCTGCAACAGATTCAAATATACTTTTCTTATATTCTGCATGTAAATCCCTCCTTCTCTTTCTTCGTTCTAGAGCCTTCTTATCCCTAACTTCGTCATATACTGAAATGCGCAAGATGCGATCCTTCCCAATGGCATAATCATTCAGCGCAGAAATGGCATTAGTGGCTGATTCGCATTGCTCGTATACTACTATTGCGCAGCCCTTAGTGAGGGAAGAAGAGCCTATACTTATTTGCTGAATGGCTCCATATTCACTGAAAAGCTTATAAAGATATTCACCGTTGAACGCCTTCGATGGGATTCCTGTTACCAACAGAATCCGCTCATCTACCATGTTAAATAAGGAAACCCTTCGAGAACTAAACAAGGGAGGGAAAAAGATAAAACATGCAAGCAAAATTAGTGAACATTGCTATTACTTTGTGGAGTGGAAATTCCTCCGCAACGAATCAAGTGTAGAAATCCAAAGCAAATCCACCACACACATACGCACCTCAACAAAGTCTTGCTTTGGAAAGTTAAAAACGAATCCCTTCATTTATATTTTCACCGAGAAATTCTGAACTAGTCCTCTTTATCACATTCAATCTGAGATATAGATGAAATAAACGAAACATTACTTTTTGAAGTCTTACCTTCCCCCACCAGAATAATGTAAGGAAGAATCCCGCTTAGAAACATTGCTTGAGAGGAATCATGCGTAACTAAGATAGTAGGACTTATCTGTCTTGTGAAGGCTTCATATCCCTTTGGAGTCGTACAAAAGAGTATCTTATGCCTCTGGAGTCCATCGATCCCTTTCAACTCCTTTAATATCTGTATTTTATCATTCTGACTTGAAATACGGCACATCAGGTAAACATCTAATGTGGATGCATACCAAGACAATATGTCTTTTGCCTTACCATCACATAACCACTCCCCATTTGAGAAGAAAACATCCCAGGCACAGCACATTTTGCTACCCTTAAACTGTTTTTTCCTGAGCTTTGTAAGGACATCAACGTCTACATCCTTCATTGATGGCTGTTGTTGTGATGATCCTGTATCAAGTCCCCGGATGGGGTGCGGGGGGCGTTGCTTACCTATCTTTTTCTTATAGACATATAAAATTGTCACGGCGCCAATCACGAATGCTAACAGAGTGGTAAAAGAATTTGATGTTTGTTGCAGAAGAACATCGGAAAGTGGTCTGCGATGCATTTGTCCTCCTAAAGTAAAGATGAAAAATATTAATAGTAACAAAGATTTCCTTCCTCTTGATTGCGTGGTGAAAATTTAACCTAAGCATATCGAGAAAAATAAATTGGTAGGTGAATGTATATGCATTTGAAATGAAACAAAACTCGAATAACAGGAAACAAAAACAGTAGCGCAAAAGTACACTAACAATAATTCTGCATGCTTAATTTTTCTGCAGCATAAATGAGAAAAGACTCTTTGGTGAATCACAAAGCGTTTACTCATCAAAGACATATAATCCTGCTTGATCCTCACGCTTCAAAAGACCCTTCTCGATGAGAACAGATATTCTCAACTTAATGTCATTCGCAGTAGGGGTGAAAGCATTTGAGAGTGACCTTATGACCTCCTTGCAAAGAAACTCGTGCTCAACTGTTTTTTGCTTTTTTAGGATACGAGCAATAACCGCATCGATACTCATGGAACGACTACACTCCACAGGCTTTTTCCTTGAACTGTGAGTATTGGATGGATCTGCATCTATCTGCATCCCTAAAACTATTCTGACTTTCTGCCGCTGAGACGAAAACTGCTGATTAAACTCAAATGATGTTAGCGATCTTGTCACGAGCCCAACCTTTTCAAGTGCCATCACTTGAGTATCAATATCAGCTTTTGTAAATGAGCTTTTATTGCAAATCTGATCGATGAAAATGCTTCCATCGGCGTTAAGAGATTCAATTGTGTTCACAAAAGGTGTTGGAGCTGCCACACTATAGGTTTTTCCTAAATGGTTCAGTTGAAACACAACAGTCCCAAGTGACATTTGAAAGGTGAGCTTTCTTCCACTATGACGAAGAGCATAGAACTTTTCAAAGGCCTCCATACACATGTTCATCGGTTCCGGTAGTGTCATGGAAATATTGGTGTACTGGGGCCAGAAACCTCCAGTAAGAATTGTTGCCTTAAACTCCAAAGGCAAAGTATATTGGCTTCTTTCCATGGCACGTATTAAACGGCTTTGAGTGTCAGCGCTACACTTTACATCGTTGATCATTTTTTCCATGCGACTTGCGACGTCAGCGTCACACTCTTGTTTGATTGTAGTAATAAAGCAAGTTTCATTCGCAAGTAATTCGGGCTTTGAGTGAGCGTGAAGCAGACGTCCAGCCAAATAATTTCGAAAAGAAATTTCAAAGACATCTTTATCGCTTATTAAGCGGAACAGAGAAACAACGTCTTGGCAAAGCTTTTCCATAGACTCGCCCTTAGCTGAACGAATATGATGATCAAAATAAAGAGCAAGCATTTCAACAAACGAATTTGTGCTATTCAAAATATCCTGCACGGCCAACACAATGTCCCCGCCAAGGCTTCCCTCAAATAAAGAAGACAGCTCCCTAATGTTAGAGAGTAGGGTCAGTAATTGACTAATAACAACTACAGGTGGCACTAAATACTCCGTACTAGCCGAAAATATTGCTTTGCACATTTTTCTGACTTCCGTCGTACATACATCAAGGACGGGTTTCATATTTCCCATGCAACTATACACATCAATAATCTCCTTCATAAGGGGTAAGTTCCATTCATTAAGTATAGAAGCAAATCCGGTTGAACTTTGAAGAATATAGTCTTGATTGCCACAAACAAGAACGCGGTACATAGTTGCCTCAGCTTTTTGTGCTGATGAAGAGCCCAAAAGCTTTGCCGCTTTGCTTTCTTCAATGGTTGTCGCCATTAACACCCATGTAAGAAAATTATTCACTGAATTTTCACAGCGTCGCTTTTCTCCTTCGTGAGTGTACAACTCCTCTAAATGTTTGAGATAGGGTGCTTCAACATAAGAATCATAGAAACGACCTTTCTCAAGGCCCTCAAGCAACTTAACCACAACTCTGAGTTGATCCCACTGACCAGGGTCACTAATAGCATGGAGAAACAATTTCTTTATGTTGGTCCCAACGGATGAATCCTCAAGAACTGTTTCACAAAAGATTGTTTCCCCTATTTCCTGAACTGTACGCACGTAAAACATATGAGAATAATTCTTAAAATATAGCAAAAGCCTGTTGAGCTGAAAGAGGGCACCACTAAACTCATTCCACTGAGATACAAAGAACTCTAAATAGTTCTTTATTTTTGGCTCGTGAAGGATATGAAGAACTACGTGTGCTTGTAACTGCAACAGCTCTTCAATATGTTCAAGAACGTGACACCCTAGACCGGCTTGGCACAACATAAAAATGGTGTGATGAATAAACTGAAAAGAGTACCTTACAGGCTTCTTTTTAAAAAGACTTTGAACAACTTCCTCTATGATTTCCCATTTCTGTCTAAATTCCGCCGTTTCTGTTATTCTTTTGCGGCTCATATGTGCCATTTCACTTTGTGTACGAATAATATTTTTAGTTGACTAAAAAAATTATAAAAATTTCCTTGGAAAAACGAGTTGCATGTACACTTGAAAAGTAAAAAATAAGAGATAGATGTGGAGCACAAAACACGTATTTTGAATGATTAGAATACATTTGCATATGTCAAGCAGCTTCCATGGACAAATATTTTTGTAGGTTTGCGAATTTAAATGAAAAGGCTTCGATTATAATACTACTGCCTTAATTTCAAAAGATTAGTTATCTTATAGGTTTAGTGTCATTCATTATCAATTATTATTTGAATCACATTGACTCCACTAGAAGTGAGACTCATGATATCGATAGGAAGGTGTCTCTAGCTAGACGCTGACTTCTTGACTGTGCGGTAAACACCAACAACGACAGCGTGGTCTCTCTCAAAAGGCTCCAATGAGACTTGCTCCAATGGTTTAAGCTTATCCTTCTTCATCTTATTAATCTCGGAAGCGAAAACTACAGGAGCAGCAAGTGTTGAGTCAATGCAATTGGCTTTAATAGAAATAACGTAGTGTCCACCATTTCGTAGGAAAGCCTGAGCATTAAGAGCTAGAATGCGCGCCTGATCCGGTTGTGCCACATCCATGAAGATGCAATCGACCATCGGTACCAACATCCGATATTTCATTGGGTAGCGAGCATCTTCAATAATGGGAACAATGTTCGCACGACGTTTGGACATCTCGACAAGATCGCGGCCAACACGGTGAGAAAATTCAACAGCGTATACCATTCCCTCCGGTCCAATCAGATCACTTACGTGGCTAACGGTTGTCCCACTAGCGCCTCCGAGGTACAGCACTTTGGAGCCTGGGCCCATGTGAATGGAACTAACGCCAGCGTATATAGCAGAAGCCAATTTTGAGCGGTACGGGTTCCACAGGCGATACTCTTTTTTCTCTTCACCTTGGGATGCTCCGAGCTCAATGCGTTTTTCACCGTAGACAGAAACTCCTGGTACCATATTCAGAGTGCAAATTGAGTCAGCTTTCCCTTTGGAAATAAAAACGCCTGGGTGAAGCATATGAGGGGTGACGACAACTTTACTACCCGCGTCACGACCACCGCGACCACCCCCGCGACTACCCCCGCGACCGCCTCCACGAAAACCTCCACGGCCTCCACGATCCCCTCCGCGACCTCCTCCTCGACCACCCCCACGGCCTCCACGATCACCTCCGCGACCTCCGCCACGTCCTCTAAAGCCACCGCGCATATTTGGATTTCTTGTCTTGTTCTTTCTTAACGGTGTAGCTATAGCCTCGAGAAAAAGGAATAGAATAGTAATACATTAAAAATGTATTAATTTTAACTATATCGAAATTGCACCAATTACTTTACATTATTTTAGTGTGATATTGGTAATAATGTGAATAACAGCCATCATCAGTCAAAATGGTGATATTATAATCATAATAGAATGATAAGTATTTTCGTCATGTTGATTTTATATCATCAATTCTTTGCTGAAACGAATAAACAAAAAAAAACATAATTATTGGGATTATTATTATTAATTCATTAAGAATACACATGCCTGTGCAAAAAGTAGACCAAACTCAACTGTTTAGTAGATAGAAAGAACCGGAAGAAAGAATTTTATCTTTTCCTCATATGATTAGTTTAAATATTTTCCATTGTGTCTAATGAATAAATTTATCCTCATTCTCGTCGCAATCCTTGATAGAAAAAAATTATTACCACACCGCAATAGCATATTCTGAACACAATCAGTGAGAAGTTTAGAAATATAGGATTCGTATTTTGATGTTGAAAAATGCTTCTTGAAAAAAAACTACAAAAAAGCTTGTAAAGCTTTTCCTGTAATATGACAAAAAAAGAAATTTTTTAGTTTGCCTTATATATAGTCCGCGAGCAACTCAAATACAGCGCTCCTTCCATATGGAAAAAATCAGTGAAGTCTCTTTAAGATATAAGTCAATACATTCTCCATCATGGAACGATTTTTCTTCGTCGAAGTAAAATCTCCAGGACGCTTTTTACACAACTTTTGTGCACGCTTTTGCTTGCTGATACGAAGGAGCTTCTACACACGCTTTTCTAATCGAGAATGGCCAACAAGATCAGAAAAATCGGTTTCAGTATCCAAAGATTTTTGTGGGGCACAGCGCAAAGGTCATTTGAAAAAGGCTAGCGAACTTGTAGAGTTGTCAAGTGATCCTTGATGAAGCTTAGAAGAAATTAAGTGCGTAAAGGATAGAGTGTCATTCTTGCTATCTTATTTTATAAGAGAAGAAAAAAACAAGTGGAGAAGTTTATCAAGGTAAATTTATAAAATTTTTACGATTTACATATAATTATTGATAAAACAGCACAAGGTATATAGCTATTTTTATAGACAATATACACATACCAGAATGGGCACACAGTTGAGGCTTTTTTTCTCGAAGTTGTGTATGTTCATAAATATTAGGACAAGGGAGCATCTTAAAAGCAAGCAAAATTCGAGTAATTTGTACTTCAAAACTTGTTTCTATTAATATTTTACTATGACATTTTTTTTAGGAAAGTTTGGCGCTACCCTTCAAAATTTCGCCCACGTTTTTACCCTTTTGAAGCTCTAGAAGAAATTCTTTGGACTTTTCCTTATCTAGCACACTGTATTCTCTAAAATGCTTTACCATTTGAATCCATTGATCCCTTTGAATTTCCACACAGCCTAACATGGAGATTTTGTAGTCCAGGGGCATTCCAAGATCCCACACCTTGCAGCCAAGTTCACGTAAAATGCAACCAGTAACTGCAAGCTGTAGCTTACCTGCACCGCTAACACAATACGCACCTGTTGCTGAAGTATAAATATCACCAACAAGGTAGCCAATTTCAGCTGCAACTAAATCACCTTCGTTTACTTCATCTGAACTAGAGAGCAACGACGGCCTCGAATAATTATGATACTTATGCC